CCGCCACACTCATCCTGTGTCAAGGTGTTTGACGCTTTGGACCAAGAGCTGCACGACTTCGCATTCCCACCCAGGTGCGCAGGTGCTCAAGACAGCCACGTCACACTGATCCTCTCCTAAACCTCGCCCCTAATCCCAAACCCTGAACCCTGGAACTCAAACCCTGCATTGGCTCCAGCGCCAGAAGCCCTGCGCCGCGCACGCTTTTCGAGAGGGTCGACGAGCGGGCGCTGCACATCAAAGCCCGCTCGTGGCCCCGTGTGGGCGGGGCCGGCCGCCGCGCCGGCAGCTGAAGCCGCTTTGCCGCCCGCCGCGCGAGCCCGCTGCACAAAGCAGGCGCCTCAAGTCTTTCAGAACCAACGATCTCATTCGCAGGGCCGACGGCACGGACCCGCGGCGCTGCCCGGCTTGCGGCGGGCGGCTGGTTTTAAAGCCCAACCGCGCCCTTGGGGCGTTCGTCGCCTGCAGGTGATCTCACACATAGAGATCTGGGGTTCGGCTCTGGTGATCTGGCGCGGCGCGGCGTGTGTTTTGCGATTCCTTACACAGTGCAGGCAACAGGCCTCAGCGCTCAATCTTGGCCTGCTGCCGGCAGGCAGCCGCGCCCGATGATAGCAGGCGGCCAAAGTTCGCAGGCTCATTGCTTTGAGATGGCCCCAGGATGTCCGCCCAGCTTCTGCGTGCCGAGCCGTCGCTCCTTATACATATTCTCCGCCATGCGTCTACTGCCCCGACTTCCGCCTCCTGTTTTACACAGCAATTACAGCAGCACCGGCTGCGGCTACAGCCGCCCCCTGGGCGGCGACACAGCGGGTGACTACAGCGAGTCATCGGGTGACGCCGGCGACGGCGGCGGCGGGGCGGGCGCGACGGTCTGGAACGTGCGGCAGCTGGGGAGGCACCCTGAAACTGGCGAGCAGCTGGCCGTGCGGAAGGGACCCTACGGGCTCTACGTGCAGGCGGTGAGTCAGCCGGGCACAGCGTCACCCAGGGGCCAACCCCGGGTGACACAGCAAGGCCTGGCCAGTCCCTGACTGTGGCGCCGCTGCTGAGGGCCCCCCAAAGTCTTTCCGTGAATGCATCATCTAGGTCCACCACCAACACTGTCAATATGAGGAGGCATCACTCCCTGATCTCGACCGCATGCCATCCTGTTTTCGATTCATCAGACCGGCGACCCCTCGGCCACCGGCGCCTCCAAGCCCCCCACCCGCAACGCGGCCCTGCCGGCCGGGGCCACCTTTGCTGACGTCACGCTGGAGTCGGCCGCCGCGGCCCTAGCCGGCCCACTGCCGCTGGGGCCGCACCCGGAAGACGGGGAGGCGGTGAAGCTGCACAGCAGCGGGCGGTTCGGGCCGTACCTGCAGCACAGGACGCTGCTCGCCTCAATACCCAAGGTGCGGGCGGCTAGGAGAGGGGGGGGCCGCAGCCGAGGCAGGAGTGCGGACGCCGCAATTTGCTGCTGGGTTGGACGCTCGTGGGTTGAACCACCGCTCGCCGCTGTGCCAGGCACAGTGGGGAAGCCGCGGCTGCAGCTGCCGCTGGCCAGTGGGGCGTTTCAGCGGCCCACTTCCTGCTCACAGGGCAGGCTGAGTGTGCATGTGGAATTTCTGCCGGGCTTGGCCTCGTAAACGAGTACGTCGACCCTTAGTCATGTACACCTTCCCTCATCCCTCCACGTGGCCGTCCATTTACATGTGCACAGACACGCCCAAAACACACACACACACACACACACACACACACACACACACACACACACACACACACACACACACACACACACACAC